ATTAATCCATACTTATAACATGTAGAACCCTCTTAAGGATTCTTCACATGATATATATCTCATATGGTAGAAGAAAAATAAAGAAAAAGTTATAATAAGGTCATTACCTTAATTCTACACACCTTTCTTAGCCTTTTTCCTTCTTTAAACTCCCTCTTTTTCCTTGTTTGAGTTTGAGCTCGTGTTCACCTATGGAAAATGGAGTTGCAGAGCTTCCTCTCTCTTCTCCTTTGGGTCTTGGCCGAGTGTGATAGGGGTGGGTGAGTGAGGGGTGTGGTTTTTGTCTCCTTTGGACAAATGAGTGTAGGAATGGGGTCTACTAAATGTCAAAGGGTGTCTCCCCCATCCTATCAATGTTTATTCAGCCCATCTAGCACTCATCCAGCCCCTAAAGGTTGACAAATTCGTGGGGTGGCCCCCACTCATGTGGGAGGTCATCCCTTTGTGTCCCGATGTGTACAATCGGTCCCGAAAGTTGTATTTTTCGGACTGTTTTAAACATATTTTATTCTATCGGGTCAAATAAAATATATTATGGGCTCTTACTCATTATGACATGTATCATGAATATACATTCCCCAACTTTAATTTATAAGTCTCCGAAATCCAGTTCGGGCTGTTATCTGTTAAATTACCAGTACCGGTAATTTGGGCTTCTTTTGACCAATCGGTCAACTCCGGGCCTTTCCACGACCCAAATAAAATATCCACCACTATATAAATACTATCTTGACCAAGATGAATAAAATATGTGGTCTCGGGAGTATCGGGCGGCCCCCGCTCCCGGTGTGGGTCCCACGTGCAATTTACTATTCACGCGAAAGAAATAATAAAAATTTACAACTTCGTAAATTCATTAATCCCTTTAATAAGGTTCAATACATTATTTACATAAAAGTAAATATATTTGGGGACGGTGTTACAATGCAGATGGTCACAGATGCCCTTATGAACGAAGAAGCCCGAAGAAAAGAAGCCGGGACTGAACAATCATATGCCTTCGTGTCAGAAACCAACAGACGAGGGGGAGGCAGAAATGGAGGAAGAAGTTGAGGTCGAGGTAGAGGCCAAGGTCAAAACAGAGGAAATTCTCAAGTTCGCGGCCGATCACAAGAACGAGGTATGTCCTGTGAAAACAATACTTGGTTTGAAGGATATTGCAACTATTGTGGTAATTATGGGCATAGAAAAAGAGATTGTAGAAAGTTTCTACGAGAGCAGCCACAGACGAGTCAAAATACTAGCCAAGAAGATGGTGTGACTATGGTTAGTTTGTCATCAGATGCGTGTCTTGTTACACATGGTGAACAAGAATGTTTACACGTAGGTACTCATGATGTTGAGTGGGTGATTGATACAGCCGCATCATTTCACGCCACTCCACACCAGAACTTATTCACATCTTATAAGTCAGGAGACTTTGGAGCTGTGAAGATGGGAAACACGAGTTTCTCGAAGATTGTTGGCATTGGTGATGTGCACATAACAACCAATGTCGGATGCGCACTTGTGTTGAAAGATGTTCGACATGTTCCGGATCTTAGATTGAATCTTATCTCCGGTATAGCTCTGGATCAGCAAAGATATCTTAACCGATTCAAAGAAGGTACGTGGAAGTTATCTAAAGGTTCCTTGGTTGTTGCAAGAGGCCATATTTGTGGTACTCTTTATAAAACTCATGCAAAGTTGTGTCATCCAAGTCTTAATGCTGTTGAAGAAGAGATATCACCAAACTTGTGGCACCGGAGGCTAGGCCACTTGAGCGTGAAGGGATTGACAACTCTTGCAAAGAAGGAAGTCATTTCCATGGGCAAAGGTGTTGCCCTAGATCCATGCGAACATTGTCTATTCGGGAAACAACACAGGGTTTCCTTCAGTTCTACCAGGAAGAACCATTCAGAGTTACTCAGTCTTGTACACTCTGATGTATGCGGACCCATTGAAGAGGAGTCACTTGGAGGAAGCAGATATTTCGTGACATTCATTGATGATGCATCACGAAAGGTATGGGCTTATTGTTTGAAGAGTAAGGATCAAGTGTTTGATCGCTTCAAATTATTTCATGCCATGGTAGAAAGAGAAACAAGGAAGAAGCTGAAGTGTCTACGTTCAGACAATGGAGGAGAGTACACTTCCCGAGAGTTCTCAGCATATTGCGCTGCATACGGAATCAGACATGAGATGACGGTTCCACGAAGTCCGCAACACAATGGTGTAGCCGAAAGAATGAATCGGACCATTATGGAGAAAGTTCGTTGCATGCTGAGTATGGCTAAACTACCTAAGCCATTCTGGGGGTGAAGTTGTGCTGACAGCTTGTTATCTTATAAACAGGTCATCTTCTGTTCCTTTAAACTTTGAAGTGCCAAAAAAGAAATGGTCAAGAAGAGATGTTTCTTACTCTCACTTGAAAGTGTTCGGGTGCAAGGCATTTGTACATGTGTCCAAGGAGTTGAGACAGAAGCTTGATCTCAAGTCAAACCCATGCATCTTCATCGGGTATGGTGATGAAGAATTCGGATACCGGTTGTGGGATCCCGAATTGAAGAAAGTTGTACGAAGCAGAGATGTTGAATTTCATGAAAACGAGTTTCATGGGTGTGTTCCAATAATCCGCCAACAACATACTCCAGAAGACGAAGTGCCTGTATCATCAAACATTCCTCTCAGCGACGAGGAGATGCATGATACTACTGAACAAGAGAGTGATGGTTCAGTAGGTGATGATGATACTCACAGTGATGATATTCCTCAGCAGGGGGAGCCTTCATCTGAAGACGAAGCTGAAGGTACTCATGTTCGACGTTCTATACGAGACATAGTTCCACAGAGAAAGTATTCCACATCCGAATGGATACTTGTCAGCGAGGGGGAGCCAGCGAGCATCGCAGGAACGAGAGAAATAAAGAAAAAGGTGGAGGGGGAGATTTGTAGGGAATTTCCACCTTCTTTCTTGGAAGTTGCCAAGAGGCATCTCACACCTTCTTGGAAGAAGGTCTCCAACATATGAACATGGTGAAGATATGGAGATAACTATGGAAGCTTGAATGCAACTTCCTCTTGTCTCCAAACCAGCCTATAAATAGAGTGTTCTATTGTTGTTCATATCATCAGTTTAGAAAGTGAGAAAAGTGTGTGAAGAGTGAAAATACACTTAGAGTAGAAGTGTATTGGTGAGGATTGATTTTTTGTAATAGTTGAGTGTGAGAGTTTGCTCCTCCTATTGTAATTCTGTTCTTGATATTGAATAGAAGAATTTTCCAATCCCAACAGGACAATCATTCTTGTTGTACCCACCATTATACCCACATTTATATCATCATGTTTATGCAAGATTTTTTTTATGTGAGTCTAATTCACAAACAAAAAAACTTTCTCAAATATGAGTATAAGGTGAATATAATGATGAGTACAAATCTCGTTTTTTGTTAAACCAATTGAAATGGGTACCGAGTAAAAAAAAACGTTTATTAGTTAGCATGAGATTAGTCGGCAGTCGTGCATAAAACATTTTATGTATGACCGTTATGTCATACAAATATGAGTCGTCGATAGATACATACGGAGTAAATCATAAGCAATTTAATTTATTTACGTGACCTTTCTTGTGAAATCATTTGGATTAGTAGCAGTTAGCAAACAGTACAAAAAATGGTATTGACAAAAAAATTGATAGGGATTCGAAAAATTTTGTGAAAGATTTGGGATATTTTTAAGGGAAAATGGAAACTAATAATCCAACCTTTTAGCGGTCTTCTTTAAATAATCCCACCTTTGATTTTTCATGAATAATCCAACCTTTGCACCTCATCTTCATTCATTGGTCTCTGGTCGGTTAATGACCTACTATTCCAAGTTATTTTCTTATCTTTGCAAAATATTATCTTTGTGAAAGATGAAATTTATGGTATAATGATTTGCAAAGATAAGAAAATAGCTTGGAATAGCAGGTCATCAACCGGTCAGGGACCAGTGAATGAAGATGAGGTGCAAAGGTAAGATTACTCATGAATAACTAAAAGGTTGGATTATTATAAGAAGACCGCTAAAATGTTGAATTATTATTTTCCATTTTCCCTATTTTTAATTCGTCCCAGACCAGACCAGACTTGGATAGTTATAAAAATACAAAGAAATCAGACCAGACCAGCAAATTACAGTCCAAGTAAAAACATCATTGTTATGTGGGTTGTCTTCCAGCTCAGGTCTCAATCTTCATCCACAAAGGATGATAAAAGCCACTAGGATCAACAATGGAAGGATTGGGCAACGACCTTCCGACCTATTTCCGGCCAACCCGTTGAATTTACCACAGAGGAAATGCAAGGGACGAATTAAGGGTTTCGGTCCGCCAACCTTCGGTACAAGAGAAGCACGAAATAAATAAAGCCAAGGATAAACCCAACAAGGAAACTTACCAAGTGAGGAATAAGCTACCAGAATCGCACAAGCACCAAAGGAAAGAATCGCAGAGAAGAAGGAAGGCGTGCGAACGGTAAAATAACAGGGATGGACCGGGTACTTCTCAAGGGTTATTGGGCTTATAGAAATAGTGGGCCAATACCAACAATCCTCCTTGATAGTGATATGTCAAATTTGTGTCAATCTCATAATTTTTTGGTGATGAAAGAAATCAAAATTAAAGTTTTTTTTTAAAGCAAAATTAAAGTTACTCTCCTGGGATGTCTAATATTTGAGATGTTTAAATAATTAAATGCATATTTAGTAGACATACAGTTTTGATAATATAAATGTCATTTATTTGACTTCATTTGATAAAAAATCAACATAAAGGTAGATTAATTTTGTGATACGGAGTATTAGAATCGTTTGAGTTGTTGCAATTTAAACGGTTGAATGTGGTGGTGATTCAGGCCACACAATAATTACTGGGGGTTTTAGTTTGTCATTTTCTAGGGAAGTGGCAGGGGCACGTACAGGTAGTGTGGCACATACACTCGCGCGTGTATTATATTACTGCCTGCCTACATACATCTATACCTTTTCTCCTCCCTCCCATTTCTTTCCTTTCTTTCTCATCAATCCACTCCATTGATGCAATCCACCCTTTTACCTGAAAGAACATTACGCCTTTGACTCATCTTGGAACCCACACCAGAAATGAGGAATCAGAAGCTCAAAGGTCCTTTCTTTATCTTCTGCAACTCTTTTCTCTGCACATTTTCTACGCCGTAAATGTTATACTCCGTACAGTATTCATAATTCATATGCAGAGGAAACTGGATGCTTATTAACGAAAATGTATGTAAAACTAACAGCAAGACCCACAGAACAGAGGTATCTCCATGAATGTGGAGGTTTTTTTTTTTGGAAAAAAATGTCATTTTATTGATCAGAGGGTTTGAATATTTGGGCTTCATTGAAGGTCTTCCTCTCTTCATGCACACATGGGTTTTGACAATAATCTGTAGCAGAGTTTCTTTCAATAATTTGGGGCTTTCAAAACAAACAAACAGAGAAGAAAAGAAAAATCTGCAATTCTGCATGTGCTAGCTATATTTCTGTGTGGGTATTTATTTTTTTTATTTACTCCGTATGTAAAATCGCAATGAATGATACTGAGAGAAATAGCTGTGGGGGTCTAACAGGAATGGAAGATATTGATAAGAAGAAGGGGCTATGGCTTCCAGACAGCATAATGGCAGATATACTGTGCAGATTGTCCTCAAAAGAACTGGCCAGGCTGAGGTTCGTTTCGAAGGAATGGCAGTCCATCGTCTCCGATCGGACATTCGTCTCACTTCATCTCACCATGAAACGACGACGTCCCAAAGAGAAGCTCTCTGGATTCTTCCTCCAAGGAAGGCACTATTGGTGCAATGAGGACATCAAATCTGTGAGCTACATAGCGTCTTCCGACGATGGCGTCAGAAAGGCGGCAGAGAAGAGCGTGCTGAGCTTTCTCCCGGAAGAGGTGGTCATTCTTTCTTCCACTCATGGCCTTCTCTGCTGCCGGAGCCTCTTCCTCTCACCTTATTCTTCTCAGCCCCGTCTGGTCTATGTCTGCAACCCTCTCACAAAGGAATGGACTTCTCTTGAATGGCCTCACCCTCCTCAAGAAAAAGAAACCAGCACTGCCTTGGTTCTCCACCTCTCCATTTCCCCTACTCATGTTTCCACAGATTTTTATCTCGTTTCAGTTTGCCAAAGAGTAGCCACCGCAATGACCGATTTGGGGAATGACCAGGAGGAAGATGAAGACGATGATGAGTTCGAGTTCCGGTTCAAGACATACTCATCCCGAACGAAAGAATGGCGAGAGTCGAAAGAGGTGTGCATTTGCAGCAAGAAGTTGCAGAAAAAGGGGTGTAGTGTGGGTGGGGAAGGTGGCGGAATCATATACTGGCTGACAGCGGATAACCGTGTGCTCATGTTTGATTTTAGGAATGATCTTTGTTGGATGATCAAGGCACCTTTTCCGTCTTCGGAGCTGAACTTCACACCCGGGGTGTGTTTGGGAGAAGGAGGTGATGATGGGAGGCTGAGGTATGTGCTGATTTCCCAGGACGGGTTCATGGTCTGGGAGCTGGATGATCAGTTTGCATCCGTTTGGTCACTCAAATACTTCATAGCTCCTGATGAGCTGGAGAAGGAGAATCCTGAAAGCATGTTTCGCATCTCCAAGATGCTGCAGTCTCATCTCACTATTGAGTCGGGTCCTTGGATCAATCCTTTGTCTTTCAAGGATTCAATTCTGCTGCTGTGGATATCTCCTGATATCTATGTGTTTGACTTCGAAACGCGGAAGGCGAAATTGCTATGCCCGGAATCCGCTTTAGGACCGAGCTCTTGTTTATCCCCAATTGTCCTTCCTTACACCATGAGTTTGGTTCCTTTAGGTTAACCACACATCATATATATATACATATGAAGGGAAGTGCTGGAAGGAGTGTTCCTGTGATCTGTTTTGGTCTCATTGTCAAACTTTACCAGCAGCCATTTTGTTGATCACAAGGGGCGGGCATGCATTCAATAGCTGCTGCTTTTTTGCTCACTACCTTAGTAAAGTGCACCACTGCACATATATATATATATATATATATATAGACATCTCAAATTAGCTCAAGTAACCTGCTTATTTTGAACTAGAGTCCTAAGAAAGGCAGGTTGACACACTTTTTTGTACTCACTACCAATTGGAGAATTAGTCATTGGGTAGAGTTTAATTTTTGCATTTGGTAGCTCCCACGTGGTTTGTTTGGATTATTACTTCTTTCGGAGTACTATAAACGCTAGAAAATGATGTGCAAAGCTTGATTTAAAAAAATGTTGGCTTAGGCCTTTTTGCATTCTGCTGCTTTGGATCGATTACAATTTGACATAATGGTTGACACTTGACATCATCAATTTCGTGTTGATAATTTAGGTAATTTTTGTGAAGCTTGTTGACTTCCAGAATAAGGACCGTATATATATTACTAGTGTCATTTAGCCAAGAAATATAAAGGAGGCCCATATAATAACTCTATCATAGAGTCATATATAGAGGGTGACAAACTCGTGTATAGCGTCAAAAGAGTAGCACAGACCTTTGATGAACTTTGTGACCGGGAAACCTATGTCCAAATGTCGGTGACACATATGATACTTAGATATGAAGGTTACCTATGAACTGTATTAATTGAATTCGAAATACAGCTGTATAGATTATTTTAAACAATGTGAATATAAATCAAACTTGACCTACAGAATTATTTTTATAAAAGCTTTGCCACATAAAAAGATGATATTGACACTAAGGGCCTTTTACTTTTCAGTTTTATGTTCTGTTTTTCGTTTTCCAATTTTCTGTTTTTGTTTTTCAGTTTCTTTATCTCCAATTTCTGTTTACATTATCTAGTTTTTCATTTTCAAATATGAAAAAATGTTCATCAAATTTTTTCAATTGATTCTGTGATTGACCGAAAGATTGAAAGTACACTCCCGATTCCAGTATGGAACCAAACCTAGTACAACTGAAGTAGGGTACTCGTTCCCATTTATTGGAAAGTCGGGATTGAAATCAACCGATCTTGATCGGTCCCAATGACTAGTTTGACTAATTATTTTTCAGGATTGTTGACTGGACCGGATCAGATTGGGACTGTCCGATTATCGACCGGACCAGACAGGGATTGCCAGATCATCGACCTGTTTAGAAAGGGACCGCCGGGGCGTCGATCAGGCAGGGATCGGATAGGGTCTGCCTGACCCTCGACCAGACCAAAAAAGTATCGTCGGGTCGTTGACCGGACCGCAGGGTCATTGATCAAACCCGTGGACCGGACAAGGTCCATCGGGTCATTTACCAAGCAGGACCGCAAGGTCGTTGACTAGACCAGATAGAGACTCTCGGTCATTGATCGGACCGGACCGGAACTGACGTTGGAGCGGGACCAAATCCACCAGTACACGTAAATATGCAAATCATTGCAGCATCAATGCAATATTCACGTATTTCAAATTTGGAATACTAGTATAACTCGCTTCTGCAATTCATTAAGGAAAACAAAGATATATCTCATTTTTTGGTTTTGGAAAACGATTTGGTAAACACATTTTTCTGTTTTCCTTTCTCCAATTTTCCAGCAATTTTTTTCGATAAACACGTTTCTGTTTTTCATTTTCTAGTTTTTCAGTTTTCCAGAAAACTGTAAAATATCTCTCTTAGTAAAGAGACCGTAATAATCTCTACTTTACACATTTACAAAATTAACTTGTATCGGAAATGTTCATAAGAATAATCTACACTTGTTAACTATTTCATAAACAAAGCGTTTTGGAAGAGCGAGAATCCCTAGTCAACGGACCTCCTACGCCTCTCGTCATCGATCTTGAGGCTTGGCCGCCGCTGCGGGATTCCGGGGCTCTTGTATTTCCTCTACTAGAAATAAAAACTCCCAGCAAGGCGGATGTAATAGGCATACTCCGAAGCAGTCTCTCCCTATCAGGTCTCGGGTTTGGTTTTTCCTTAGCAGATCTAAGGTTTGGTTCTTTCGGTCGGTGAATCCCCTTCATCTGTGTCCGGCGCTGGGATTGGATTTGAGGCATATTTACAAGAATCCCTTCCCAAGCTTCACGACATCGAAGCCAGAGTTCGGCAATCGATTTCTTCGTGAGCAGGGCAACAAGGGTATGACAGCGATGAAGATGACCGCTAGCGGTGGATTTGCTACGAGCATGGGACGAGGAGAGTTGTACGGATTTCGAGCAGGCCAGATGATGATTGACAATGGAGGATCATTTAGAGTGGTACTGTTGGGATAATGGCCCAAGTCGAGGTTCGGCCCATTTACCCCTTCTTCCGGACGTACGTCCAGATAGATCACTAAGCTAGCCTGGCAAGCCCATTTCCTCCAGGAAAGACGGACATCTGTAGTTGGGGTTTAGGCTTAGCAGCCCACCTAGACGAACGTCTATGCAGGGACAAGGAGCAGGACCACGAGTCACCGGAATGACGACGAACGTCGTCAGAGCAAGCCCCTAGCCATCGGAGGCGGTCCAGCCCGCATGGCGAGATATCCACAAGGCCAGGGGATGAACGGCCAATACACCTTGGAGGCCACCTGGGCAATCCAGCTCGCCCCCCGGGCGGACGAACGTCCCCACTAATTAGGCGGGAAACCTAGATTCTGGCGGGAAGTGCATTTAATGCTGAAGATTTGGTGGTTGAGACACCAGCGAACCACAGGCTTCCACGTCAGTATAGCCACCTGCCCATTGGTGGGTATAAATAGAAGCATTTATTTCATTGTAAAGGGTTGGCAACTTTCTATTCTTAGCACTCTAGCTATAGCATTCTTACTCGCAGCACTTCTACTGCCTTGTAAGACGACCGGCCGACGAGCCTTAGTGAAAAGTATTGTATTAGGGAGTTATTAAGAGATAATAATACCTAATCACATACTTGCTGCTTACTTTTCTCCTTGATCCATATTACTTGCTAGTTGGGCTTGATATTCATACACACTCCACTCGAAATCCTTGGCCTTACGTGTTGGACCCGAGGGTTGAAGGAATAAACCTCAACAGGTACCAAGGATACGGCCTCCTCTTGAACCATCGCCATGGGTTGTGCGAGATGCTAGAGTCCGTAAAATCTTTCCAATAAGTTTTCATTATTTTGTCATTTGGTTTCTTGTTATCGTCTATATTGTTAGGTTTGTCCGTTTGTTTGGGAATTTAGCCTTGTTTTATGTCATTGAGCATGTTTGGATCTATGAGAATATGTTTGGCTGTGTCAAGCCCGTTACATGGTTAGCGATTCGTGTTGCTCTTTCAGCGGTGAGTTCCGGTGACCGTTTCTAAGGCTCATCATAGGGTTTACTGTTGTAGTTGTTGGAGTCTAGTTGGTGTCAGTTTTGTTTTTTCTTTGATTGATGCAATCATCCTGAAACTTATAATATGAATAGAGACTAGTCTTCGTTCCAAAAGAAAAAAAAACTATTTCATAAAAATGAATCGTCATTTAACATTGATAACTTAACTTCTGCTATGTTGGTTCATTTTTGTGAAAATTTACGTTTAAATTTTGAAACTTGAAATTATTGATGTTTAATTTTTTTTTAATATACATAGGGTAAGAGAGATTTTTCACCTTCGGTGTTGAGGATTGTCCTGCCGAATTCAATACATCGTTAAAATCTCAACCGCCAGTGTTGGTTGCCGCAGTCCAAGCCGCAAAAACGATAAAGTGAGAATATTATGAATAGAGGGTTGATAAGCAAATTCTCGGTCAATAACCAATGAATTTAGAGGGGAAAGTCTGAGTATAAATATTTGAAAAATGATGAGGGGTGTCCCAATGTGGATTTTTAAGGATTTTAATTGAATTCAGAATTCCATCAAAGTTTCAGTGTTCTCATTTGGATTTCTATAGAATCTATGGAAATATGGGTGTTCTCAAACATTCCATGAATTTCAATTATCATTTGTTTGGATGGATTTTAATTGATTCTCATAGAACGTACTAAAAAAAAATTCTATGAGAAATCTTACTCAACCCCTCAGATTTCAAAATCTACGAAAGATATCGATAAAGAGATGGCTGGAAGAGAGACGCACAACCACACATTGCCGAAGCTAGCCGTCTGGCAGTTGGATGCAATTGACCTTGTTTCCGCGGTCGCCGGTAGAGGAGGCTTGCTGTCTCCGACAGAGGAGGTTGTCCTTGTTGGAACGATGAAGCACTCCACTGACAGTCAAGGCTAAATGAATGATGTAGATTCCTTTTCGTGTAGTGTATCGGAAAGACCAATTTTTTAGAAGATGAATTGATGAATGCAGAGAGACGGAATTAGCAGGTACAAGTTCAAGTAAAAGTAGGGTCGTAGACTCGTAGGGATTGGGGAAGGCAATGAGATATAAAGTTACTCGAAGGAACCCGACTAACCAGGCACTGGGAAGGTCCCAACATGGCACTCGAGGGGCATTGAGGGTGTCAAGGGGACAAGGCCGTGGAGGCCGACCTTAGACCGTGAGTGACGGTCACATGTAGACTATCGACGACTTCAATGGGTCCAAGGAGGACTCGACTTACCAATCGGGAACTGAGCCGGTTGAGACACCTTAGGAAGGGAAGGGGAAGATGATGATGTTAGCGAGGAGAGCAATGATGATGGCTCCTTGGAAAGAATTGAGGAACTACTCCGTCAATATCAACAATATCGCCAAAGGCATCGGCCAAGGCGTGCTTTGGGAGGGGCTCCGAGAAGAGAGAGTCGTGTGAGTCCTAGCGAATGTGTAGAGTCTCGGGGAGATCGAGGTACCGAAGTTCCAATAATAAGAATCTCGAAGTATCTCAAGGAGGCGAGGGACTCGTGTATGTGTGATGTGTGAATAATGAACTAAAAGTCTGGTCCAAAGGGTTGGGCTGGTCATGCTGTATTTTGCCCCATACACGGAGTAGCGGAGTACTACGTGATTTAGGGAGTGTTTACAATTGCTTCAACTTTAAAAAGTGATTTTTTAAAGTGATTTTGGGAAAAGTGATTAATAGTAAAAGTTGGTAGTGTTTGAGGAAAAAGTGATTCTGAAAAAGTAAAAGTTGGTAGTGTTTGGTAAAATAAGTACTTTTTGTGTAATAGAAAAAGTGAAAAGCAGTTTAAAGCACCCTTCTACCTGCTCCCAGCTTTTAACTTTTAAGTGATTAATTTAAACAGAAATTGTCATTTGAAAACACTTTTTTTAACTTTTTTTAAGTCAAAAAGCGCTTTTTTTAATTAACCCATACACTCCTTTATATTCCGTATAAGCAATTTAAGATAAAAAAACTGATATACCCTCCGCTACGATTTTACGAGAGAGAAGGCCTTAGCCAAATGTCGTTGCCGGCAACTTTTCAAATGGGGCGGATGCTCTCTCCCGTCCTCACCCGCCCGCTCATAAACGCTTGCAACCCTCAGCTCTTTTCGCCCCCCTCCCATTACTGTCTTTCAATTAAACCTCTGTATCTTTGCTTCGGATCTTCCGCATCTTCCGTTCGCCGCGCCGCCTCCACCACCGCTATGGGTGACGCCGTCGCCGATGCCAACATGGACGCTGTCCAACGCCGTCTCATGTTTGACGACGAGTAAATACTCTTCTTTTATCTTCTACTATTCTATTTAATATTTGTTTCAAGGCGTCGTTTTTGCTTCAATATATGTACACATCTCTCAGTGCAACGTTATTGTATTGGATTTGAAGCTGCTCTGGATTTTCGTTTTTATCTTCCATGAGTGCTAAATGATTGAAAATATCCAATTTACAATATGTTTCCTATACCAAACGTTCTGTGTTTTCATGAATCCATTTTCTTTTACAGTGTATGATCATTTCCCAGATATCATTTTGAACTCACACTTTCTTTCTTTTTCTGAAGGTGTATTTTGGTAGATGAAAATGACAGTGTCGTTGGTCATGATACCAAGTACAATTGTAAGTTCCTTAAACTCTATGCAAATATAAATAGGTACTTGTAGCTACTTTTCTTGTCCTGATAAGTGTGGAGTTATGGACTGACTATTCGTTATCCAGTATATTTTTGGATTAACACCGGACAAGTGTGAAATTTTGGATTTTACTCATAAGTTTCGCAATCATAATCATTAAAGGTGTAATTACCGCATTTTGTCCTTTTAAGATCTTGCTCGTTATGAATCAACCCGCTTCTGTTGAAGGCCAAACAGTCCGTTTAGCTCATTTGAAAATCAGATCACCATTGTTCCCACTTCCCACATGGTTTAAAACTTCAAATGGTTGGGGGTCTAATTCAAGGAGTAAATCTAAATTTAGCGCCCCTTCTTGCTAGTGTGTCAACACCCCTTCATTTTTTCTTCATTGAAGAATTTGACAATAAAAGTTTAACTCCATGTGATCAATATGCAGGTCATCTTATGGAGAAAATTGAATCCGAGAATTTGCTTCACAGAGCCTTCAGTGTTTTCTTATTTAACTCAAAATATGAATTGCTTCTTCAGGTATGTCTTGGAAACACTGTCCATGTTTCTTATTTAATGGATATCAAGTAAAAGAAGCTGTTTCAGTATGGTTGAGGGCGGGATGACCTTGTTTATGTAGACATCAAACATCTTGTTTTAAGATACTCGATGTTCCATTTTGTTTTACAAAAAGACTTACAACTGCTTTTATGAAAAATGCAATGCCATCAGGTCTTGAAAAACATATTTTAAACTTAGAGCCTGCTTGCTAAATGTGGGTTTAGGCAAAAATTGCTGAAGTTGTTGCTCATATTGATGTCGTTGATATATGAGTTTTTTAGTGTATACATGAAAAAAGTGTAATCTTTACAAACTTCATAAAAATATCTCCTCATGCCCTACCCTTTTCATTATTAATGGACTCAGCGACTCAGCGTACACATTCAAATATATTGGTGTTTACTGTCTGTCTGTTTAGTAAAAAAATATGGTCGATGTGCCGCAGAAGCAATTACCAAAGAGCTCATTACTATTCTCACAAGTTATAGAATCAGTTAATAGCAAATATGATCTACCATGATTATATTGTATAGTTCTTTGGTTATTGCAGCAAAGGTCTGCGACAAAGGTCACCTTTCCTTTGGTATGGACCAACACCTGCTGCAGTCATCCTCTCTACCGAGAGTCTGAGCTTATTGAACAGAACGCTATTGGTATATATTTCTCTTAGGTAAAGTTTGGTAAATCGTAATGCAATGCAATGTAAATTGTAACATAATCAAATACATTTTTAGTGTATACATTTGATTTGATCACATTGCATTATACTTCATTACGTTTTTCCAAACCACTCCTTAGCACATAAATGGATCACCCGTTTTAGTAATCCACTGAAACTAATCCTTTTTATGCTCTTAAAATTTTAGGGGTAAGGAATGCAGCACAAAGGAAACTTCTTGATGAGTTGGGGATCCCTGCAAAGGATGTCCCAGTTGATCAGTTCACACCATTGGGTAGGATCCTTTATAAAGCACCTTCTGATGGGAAGTGGGGAGAGCATGAACGTAAGGGTCCTTCTCTCTCTCTCCAAATCGTATTGTGTTATATTCTTATCCAACACATTGCTCTTTAATCACCCTTTATTTGTTTTCGGAAAACATTATACGGATATCTTTTGAGATATAAACTAATAAGCTCTCCAAACTTTTCCCTTTACTAGAATCTTTAATCCAACTGACCCTAAATCATCTTTCCGTATTTTTGTGAACCTTTTTAGAGCTGTGTGACTGTGTCATAATGTCATGCACAAGTTTTACCCAAATTTATATTTCAAGATATTTTTCGTGTAGAGGGGCTTTTGATGAAGATGTTTTTGAAATTTCATAGTGTACTTCTTTCTGAAGAGGATGGGAAATACGGCATTCAATGGATGATTTTTTGCATTACTTTTCTAGTGCTGACCATGCTGACAATTTTTAAAAACTTCTCCTATATTTAACATCAAACTGAGGTTTAGAAAACAGAATTGTATGCTTCAGAATTATTAAAGAGAAAATAAATCATTACAATCTCGTAAGTCTTTCATCTCGTAAGTTTTTGGAATGTACGGATGTACTATAAAGCAAAAAATGGGAAGGTTAAAAAGTGCAGAGGAAATATTAAATAAAAAACAGGTTATGCTATAAATCGTTAGCACCAGTCCTAGGAAAGCAATGGTGATGAGCACATATATTCGTCCTAGGAAAGCAATGGTGATGAGCACATATATTGGAGCTGGGCGTTAAAATGTTTTTGAAAAAAAGAAGACGAATACCACTCCCAGGATACAGTAGAGCAAAAAAAGCCAAGGTACAGACGAGTAATGCGACTAGTGACAAAGCTAGCTCAATTCTGGGAGGTTTTGTTGTGACACTCATGCTGGAAAGGAGAGTGAGCGCTTCAGGATGAAGATTGGAAGTGACCGTCATTTACGTGCTTAAAATAAAGGAAAATGCTAGAAGTACAAACAAAATTAGAAACCATGTTGCTATTGTAATTTCCTTTGATGTAAAAATGATGTGATGTGTTGAAAATGTGATGCTGCCACATACCTCTTTTGTAAGACTTTTTGTAAGAGTGTATATACCTTTGACATAACTCTAAAATAAAAATAAGATTGTAGGGCTAACATGGATGAAAGGAATCTTTTGTGGGCCTTCTTATTTGCCCATTTGAGTTTTTTTGATGAGGTAAGCAAAAGGGGTCCTACAGGTTAAGCAGTAATATATTGTAGTCCTACCATTTTGTGTGGAAAGCTTTCATAGGGACAATGTCAAATCTCTTGCCCTTCTCTTTTTTATGATAATTTATCTTCACTTACCACAACATTTGACGAATATTTCCAGCTAAAGCAGGTTAAAATTGTAAATTTATTGGAGTCTTATACAATTACTTTTAAAACACAAAGAAAATATAGAACAGATCCAACACTGAAACTTTATCTGCAGTCGATTATCTTCTCTTCATCGTGCGGGATGTGCGCGTGCACCCAAACCCAGATGAGGTTGCTGATGTTAAATATGTGAATAGAGAAGAGCTAAAAGAGATATTGAGGAAAGCAGATGCAGGAGAGGACGGTATAAAGCTGTCTCCTTGGTTCAGACTGGTTGTCCATAATTTCTTATTCAAATGGTGGGATCATGTTGAGAAAGGCACCCTCATGAAAGCTGCTGATATGAAAACCATACACAAGTTGACCTAAAGCTTCTGTTGTTGAACCCTTGCCTCTTTCACTTTTTTTTGGCCCGTCGCTCTACTGCATTTGTGTAATTTTTATAATTGATAGATACTCGGCTTATTATCTCAATGAGTGTTCTTCAACTGTACCTTTCTTTCAAGTTTTCATTTGTATTTGCAGACTATTGTGGGTTCTTATACGAAGTGTGAGTGATGCTCGGCTTATTATCTCAATGAGTGTTCTTCAACTGTACCTTTCTTTCAAGTTTTCTGTCAGGAAGGCTTAATTGTAATCGGCAGCTGCTCACATTTGAGGTGTTTCGGGCCGCTGCTTGTGGTACTCTTAAAAGTGTTACTACCACAATCATTGGCAGTTGGCACACTATTAATTGGTACTCTTAAATTCTTAGTGTAATAGGGAAAGGTACTAGGTTGGAGTTCATACACAGAGAGGCTTGTGGTAGCAGCTTCGGTTTATGGGTTAATGACTTAATGTATATTAAGAACACACTACTATACATGAAATTAAAAAAAAAAACAGACCAGGGATATATAAAAACGAGTGTTTGTTTTTGAGATTATACATATACTATATGATGTCATTGAGTTATTCCTCAACTCCACTTCCGAAGCAAATAGATTCTGAATCCTCTGTCTCTTCATGAGGTGGGTCTGCATCATCTCCGCTTATCGTATAACTTGTAGCAGAAGAGTCGACCACCACCACTGGCGGAGGCTCGACCACAGTTTTTTGCTCAACCGTAGCCTTCCTTCTATTCCTACTCATCCTTCGCCTCTTCAATGTCTCGAACATGCTTCTCTCCTCCCTTTCTTCGGAGGCTTGTAACATCAAACTTTCGTCCTCGGGGTACTCCATAACGTGCCTTGCACTCACGAATGGGATGATGAGTGGTCTGAAGCAACACAGGGAGACTATGAGGAGAGCAATGTAAATGTACAATGTCGCCCACACGTAGAATGTCCATTTCCATCTATGCAACACCTCTTTCATCCAAGGAAGATGAGATTTGAGGATGATCTCAGCTCCGTATATCTGCGGGAGCTCTTGGGTTCCGGAACGTGGCATCAGGGTCAGGCGGATGGCCTCGGTTCTTGGATGGCTCTCCTTGTGCCTTATGATGGGGATAACTAACTTCTGGGTTTCAGTCGTTATTCCCAAGAGGAGGGGTAGACCCCAAATCAGTTCTCTCATGAGCCGGATTGGTTGGCTTCTGAATTGCAACATGCATGGATGGCTTGATCTGCTTGTCCTCACACCACTGCCATTGGATAACAGTTCTGCATTCACCTATTCATTGCGAATACTGTGAATTAGTATTCAAACACAAAAACTGATTGTATTCAAGAACCTTTTAAAACAGTATAACATCTAAAAGGTGAATGTAGTAAATGGTGTTTGGTGAATAACTAGTGTTTGAGTGGCTGATTTAGTATACAAAAGAACACTCACAATTCAGGAAAATAAAAAGCTAAGAAGCCAAAGCTGGATGATGACTATTGAAATAAGAGGGTAATGTAAGCATCTTATTCAAGTTAAAATGAAGGCTATTTAAAGCTTAATAAGCTGTAAGATGAAAAAAATAGTCTGTAAACATTGGCGCACTGTGAGCCGGGGGCATGCATTGCATAAGATTAGACTTCAATAACTTTTTAGTTGGACTGATTTAACCACAAGCCAGAGTTTTAAACAAACTATAGTACACACAAAACAAACCTGGGACGGAGTGACATCAGAAAATTTGGACCCAAGTGAAAACATGCTTATTATTTTTTCCTCTACTTTCCTTTGAGGAAAATCTGTAACTATTAACCGCACTTACTAATGTATCACTCGTACAGTACAATAAAGAATGAAGGGATTGCCTAAAAAAACTACTTTCGTTTGATTGATCGAATAGTAGGGAGTAGCAATGATAAATACTCCCTCCGGTTTTCCTTTGGTACGGTCTAAAATAAACTTCACACTTCCTTATTTCCTTTTTTGGAAAAGAAATCTACAGTGCCAAACAGTGTCTCTACAGTGTCTCTACAGTAAAGTCAAATTTCTTTCCTTATTTTGTGTGAAGTCAAAGTGTGAAGATTAAATAAAACCGGAGGTAGTATATGATTACCTGGAAGATCCCAAGCTCTCTGTTATAATCCGACTCAGGCATTAGCAGAAGCAAAGAAACATAAAAGGTATGGCCAACGGGCACACCGAGAGTCTTGTGTTTGACGAGGAAGTTACCACCCTTATAATAATACTGCTCGTGGAAAGAGAAGGTGGCCTTGGGATGCGCTTCAGTATAGTCAAAGTTCACTCTCTCCCTCAACAACACAGGTTCCTCCACCCACCACCTCACCACCACCACGCCCAAAACCGCCGCCACCACCAGCAAAACCATCAGAATCATCCCCACATAGGCGGCCGCCAGTATTCCGACCCCTATTTTCCTCAGCAACAGACCGCCGTATCCTCCAGCGCCCTCCTCCGGTGTGGCGGCGTTGTTTGTGGCTGAGAGCATGCCTGGCTCCACGGCCCTGCTGGTCGTCGACCATCATTAAAATGCAAAATTAATTAAGAACATCTCCCATGCAACAATATTATTCATGATAATTTAAAAAGAAAGAATTGAAGAAAAAAAGGAGATGAACATAATTAATAAACACTTTCCTGCTGTGGTCACCGTCGGAGTGGGAACAAAATGAGAAGAGGGAGAGGAGGGCGTATAAGCAGGCGGAGAGGGTGTCGGATGGAAGAGACAAGATGGAGTTGGAAAGTGAAGGTTCATCGCCACAGGGTGTGGTGGTTGGCCGTCGTAGGGCTGAAACGGATCTTCGGTTGTACGGCATGGTCAAGCGCGCGATCAGAATGCAAGGCGGGCGGGCGGGCGTGATCTAACACTTGTAATGCCAGAAAGAAAGGTAGCAGACAGGTGTACGTACGCAGCAGCAGCATGCAAGCTGATGGCTCGACATCTGTATCTCTGCGTTATCACAATTCAAACACAAGCCTATCCAAAGTCAACGCCGTTTTTAACTCTTACAAATTGCCAAAGGGGTTTTTACCTCAAACATAACATCTCATTTTTCTACTTAGTTTATTTTAGTTTAAATATTGAACTTTTTATGTGTGATTGGACCAAAATATCCCTATTTCTGCCCCTGGACTGCTGCCAACTGCCTACCGCCGACCACAGAGCTCTAGTGGCCACTGCCAAAAAATTTTCCAGAATTTTTTCTGGACGTTTCCCAGCGTTTCTGCCTCCGGTCGCCGGAGTTCACCGTCACCGCCAGAATCTGCTGCCGTCGCCACCGGACTGCCCCGCTACCATCGGACTGCCTTGGTTGTGCAAGAGAACTAGGGGGGCAATTAATTGGGTTAATTAATTGCCGGAGTTCGCCGCCGCCGCCGCCGCCGCCGACCGGCTGCCGGAGTTCTGCTGCCACCACAGACTGTCCCGCCACCGACGGACTGCCTTGGTTGTGCAAGGAAACTAGGGGGAAATTATTTAAACCAATTAATTAATTAAATAGAATTAGGGGTAAAAAATGTAAGGTTAGTCCTATTTAGGGAAAACTAAACATTAAGTCCTATTTTGGGAAAAAACCTACTCCTTCCGTCCCATTGAACTTTGCTAACTTTCCCTTTTTGGTTGTCCCAAAAAACTTTGTCACTTTCCTATTAAAGCAACTAATTTGTGATTCTGCACATTTCTCTCCTCTGCAATAGCAATAGCAATTTTTCTCATTGCCAAATAAGTGTAAATGAAAACTTAATTAGACTAAACGTTTCCTCAAAAAAAGGGTTAAACATGAATTTTATGCCCTAAATATTTCTATGAGTGTTAATTCATAATAAATGTTTTATATGAAAGCCTGCTAGACAGAGTAATTTATAAAGGCATGTGTAGAGGAATTCATCTTCCCCAACCGGTGTGGGAAAGATGATAAAAAATGAACATGCAAAATCCTTCTTTCCTTACCAAGTATTATCATTGATAATACTTGGTATTATCAATGATTTGAAACGTAGTCAACTTCAAAAAATGATTTGACTGCCTTCTTGATCGAATTTTGAGTTGAAATTTGGAATTGATAAACTAAACTTGATGAGGAACATGTTCTAAAAATTTCATTGAAAAATTCCACGAGAACTGTCTCAAACATCAAAGTTCGGACGGCAGCTCCCGTTCCTCAGGCTGGACCTGAGCATTTCTCATTGTTATTATATTATTATAATATTTTATTAATATCATTATCAACACCCATTTTTAATGGATTTTTTTTATCTAAAGTATTACTATAATAAAATTAATGGACAAAAAGACTGATTAATGATTGTGTTTTTATAGTCGGTGTAACGTAAAGTTAGAATGTAGTTGTAGTCACTATAAGTTACTCTATATCACATTTTTATCAAATTATTTTATTTTGGTCATGCACTACGTATTATTTCTTTTTATTAATACTAATATTATCATTCAACGAGTTTTTCTAGCTTTGATTTTTGTGTAACTGCAAAATATATTTGCTAGATTTAGGATTCGATAAATCTTATTTGTTGAAATTGAATGGTATGATGTTCTTGAATAAGATTATTTAATATTAAATTTAAATATTCAAAAATAGCTCTAGGGAAATTAAAATAAAAGCTAAAAACTCAAAACGTCTTTTCCCGCCTAAATCCCGCCTAAGCTCGCCTAGGCTTCAAAGGCTTAAGGCTTGACCGTGCCGCCTCGACGCGCCTTACGCCTTTTAGAACATTGGTCAAAACACACGTAATTAATTCTACTAGGGAATTTAAAACAATGTATTTTTATTTGTGATTTTAGCTACATTTTACTTTAACTATTGTTGTAAAGAAAGAGTAAATAGATAACTACAAAAACAATTACCATCAATTTTCCTTATAAATAATTCATTTGGAGATCAAATAAAAGTCTCATTTTCATCAAACGTAAAAATAAATCTCATCTATCAAATCTAATGGTGGACCCTAGCGGGTCCGGTCACGGTTCCTCATCGAAACTGCCCCGTCCAAAAAATAAAATTGTTTGGACAGGGTTCGAACCATTTTCTTCCGAGTCAAGTCCAGTTCTCAGCCAATCAAAAAAACAAAGTAAATGAATGTGAGTTAAGATGTTTTTACTTGGAGTGTTTTCAATCTCAACCAGTTCAGACTGGCAGACTTGACTCCCGTCGTTATAAAATACACGTCAGACTGGCAGACTTGACTCCCGTCGTTATAAAATACACGGAAACCAAACGTTTACCACACCAGACCATATCAGACTAGACCAGACTTAAACAGACCAACACCTAACTTAAACAGGCCAGACCTATTATTATTATATTATTTTTTTGAAAGAACTATTATTATTATTATTATTATTATTATTATTATCATTATTATATTTTTGTATTATCTTATTATTTTTGTTATATTACTTTTATTGTATTATTATTATAATAATTATAATTATATTTATAAATATAACCATAATTATAATTATAATTATAATTGTTAATATAATTATTATTAATATTATCATTATTTTTTTGTAATTATTATTAACATATTAATTAAAATTATATTTGTAATTATATGTATTATTATAGAAATAAATATTATGATTATAATTAAAATTGTAATGATATAAGTAATTATAATTAAAAATATTATTACAATTGTAATTGTATCTATAGTTATAATTAGTGTAATAGCTATAATTATTATAATTATAATTTTAATTATTATTATTATTATTATTATTATCATTATTATATTTTTATAATTATATTATAATTTTAATTAAATTAAATTATATTTATAATTACAATTGTAATTAAAATAATTATAATTATATAAATATTCAAATCAGATCAGGAAGATTCAGATCAGAAACATTCAGATCAGATCAGACAAGATCAGAAAGGTTCAGATTAGATCAGGAAGATTCAGATCAGATCAGAACAATTCAGATCAGATCAGAAAAGTAAAGATCAGAACTTAAAAAATTCAGATCAGAAACATTCGGATCAGGTGAAGAGAACATCTTCTTAGTCTAATAGATAGTACTCCGTAAGTGACTTTTTAAATACATATTACGTAGAAACTTCCATAGGCCTGCTAGGCTGCAACACAAACATAAAGGGATGACATATTGACATATACCGAGCAATTATGTATAAGCATCTCCCATACGTCAATACAGCATCTCATTGAAGTATAATGACCTACATATTCATTGTTTTTACCAAAAATAAAAGAATTAGTATGTAGCAAATCCAGATCAAAATTGGGAATACATAAAGATTTCAGTCATAAAAAGTTAAATAAATTGTCAAAATTCAAAGGTTTGGATAAAAATAGGGAAGCTAAACTTGGGCAATCCCTGCAGGCTTGCGAGCACACTCTTCTTCTCTGTTGTAGAGTAAACGTCTCTTTCTTGAGGCAGTATAGCGATAGATAATGCTCTGAAGGGAATTCCGGATGCAAGGAGCATCATATTCTTCAAGAAACCTCAAGTCAGATTCTCTCCACTTTGTGCCTGCAAAATGTTTGTACTCTTCCAACACAGAAGACAAACACCAGTTTTGCAACTTCCTTAGACACCCAACCAGACAGCCTGTTCGGTGCTGCAATAGAGCAGGGGGTTAGCAACCACCAGTCAAGTAGCTGGTCTCCAGTGAGACCGGTGAGCTTTAAGCCACATCTGTGAAATTAGAAGAAGTTCCTCTGCATAGGCTAATACATCTATCTTTTTTCTAAATAGGACCATATATGTTTTATTCCTAACCTTAGTACTCTCCCTGTTCCTATTTAACTATCAAAATTGATGAACTTGTTCTTGTTTTATCTAACCATTAATGAAACGAATTTACCTTAAGTAGCATATAGTCCCAAACTTATCCTTCTTAATATATTCAATTTACCCTTTTCGCCAATGGGAAAATAAATGGGAGAGTCACTATAATGAGGAGAAATTAGACAGTATCATAAATTTTGACTATTTTTTCCCCTCAATTCATTTTCTTAAGATGTATGATTTCATCAAACAAGATAAACTAACATGAACAGAAGAGTACTTAATGTAAAAAAAAGAATGCCAAAGTTACTATCCAAAATACCCTCATATCCAAATTAATTTTCAAACATTATACTCAAACCCACTAACAACTGCAGCGGCTAAGCAATCACCGACCTCAGCCCATTAACTATAGCTGCCATCTTGATGTACACTGACTAGTGATTAGTGGCTCGCGGCTCGCTGACGCCGGGTATGAGCCAGCACCAGCAATTTATGTCAGCAGCCGGTGGTGTGGCTCTCACTGACCACTGGGCAGTGAAACAAGGTGATCAATGTCACAGATAACAAGTCAGTGACCAGTCCTCGGAGGTGAATGAGAACACGAGATGGCTGGGTATTTTGGTCCAATCATTGAATCATGAAAGCTTTTGTCTCAGAAGACTAGACAGAGTACAAGATAGAATAAGTTTTTCATGACAATGATAAGTACGGAGTACAAGATAGAGTTCGAGACCTTATAAATAATTGAATAGAAGATTTTCTTTCATGAGAGAAAAACCATACAAACTAAAAATTAGTAATTTGGCATGCTACCTTCCCGCGCTTGCAATGGATCAACACCGGATGATTTCTCACATCTGGAATACAGAATTGAAAGGACAGAATCAATACACCTTAGCCCTACATTTAATTACATAGAAATAAGCTGAAAACAAGATGTTCTCAAAAGAGGAAGTCGTCTCCTAATAAATATAAGGGAATACAGTAAAATATTTACCCCCGCCCAAAAAATAAATTCAGAAAATATACTTGCAGGAAATTGTTTTAAGACGGACACAAAGTAGTTTGAGGTTCATAGTAAGGCTCATACCAATTAAGACTCTAAGAGCTTCAGTTATGGCACTCCTGGGTATAGCAGATGGTTCCTATAAAGAGAAGTATCAATCAATTAATTACTAAATAAAAAAACAAACATTCCGTCTATCTGCAGATAATGAAGTGGTAACAAAACTCCTTTGGGCATCCAAGTTTTATAAGGCAACATGAAAATATGAAATTGAGCAAAACTCCTTTAAAGACCCAATAAAAGAATCGTCAATATATAACCCCCGAATGAAGATTGAAGAATGAAAATAACAACGGGGAAAGAGATCTTTTTACCTTGGTTCCTTCGATTCCAAATTGGAAAAGCTTAACATTGTTAAGGCGGAGAAACTCCTTGTTCTCTTCAGGGTAAGGCTCGGGACACAGAAATCTGACCACCAATAAAGGGGGCATAGATTGAATTTGAAATCCAGACAACTCGAAAACAAAATTCAGCGGATAATAAAATCCAAAATATTGACAAAATACATGATAGAGCGAAGATTGAGGGTTTGAATAAAGGGGAAATTGGCGGGCTGCGGAAGCCCTGATCTGTAAATGCAGAGATCTTCCACGGTTGAGAAGTTGGGAGGCGGCACAAGCACGCTGCCGGCAACTTGACCCGCCTGTTTCCCGTCTTCTCCTCCCTCGAGAATCACACACATCCTTCCTCCTCCGAATTTAGTTTCTTCTCTCTTATTCCTTCGGCAAGACACTCTCGTTCTCCAGAATTCACTTCGAACGAATGCTGCCGCGCCGTCACCTAGTCCACCGCCGTCACAAATATCTAGAGGTCGCCATCGTCATCCTATTGGAGGAGGATGAAGGAAAACCAGAGAGATTCATTCTGTTTTTAGGGGAATGGAATCGAACCTCCCAATTCAATCCTGAGTAGGGAAGGATGCAAGCAAGGATGGGTTTGATTGGAGTCCTTATGTGCGGCGGAGTCCTTATATCGGAATTTGCATTCTTCCATAATTCCTCATTCTCTAGTGGGTCCCACCCTCGACTCTACCTTTTTTTTCCTGTTAAAAAGAAGATGACAATCATTCTGGTCATTATTATGCTTTCATAGTTTCATACCATTGTGTGGAAATTATATGGCTAATTCGAGTTTCCACCACATATTTAAATTGGATTTTGCCTTCCATTTTTTAAAAGAGTTTTTTACAAGAATATTATTAAAATAAAATTTATTTACATAAATATGACTATTCATAATTGCAAAAAAATAAATAAATATGACTATTCATTACTACAGCGTAATGTTGTGGTAACTTAAGTTCAAAACTTGAACATGAATTACTATGATTTCATTACTACTCTAGTAACTAGTCATATTTTTGCAAATCATCTTTATTTTGGTCATATTTATGTAATTATTTCTTTTAAAAAACTTTTTTTTTGCACCCCAACTCCATATGAAAAGACAAAAATGCCTTCGACCAGGAATATGTTGAAGGCCAACATAATTGTTAATGGAGGAGCAATTTTGTCTTTTCACATGAGTTGGGCTGCAAAAACAAAGATTTTTAGAAACGAGGTGCAAAGTCTAATTTGGAAAATAAAATAGGGTGCAAACTCAAATTATCCCGAAATTATACGTTTAATTAGGCCCCTTCTCCAATATAGACCATTTTTGTTAGAGAAAAGTGTCAGTTCAGTACACAAAGTCGTGAGCTATGGAGTAAAGAGTACATGATCATGCAATTGGGATCCAAAGGTGCATCAATTCACCAAATCGTTTCTAATTTGGTCTATCGGGCTATTAGATCCGCTAAACTGCCTAGGTGGCCAACAGATTACTTATCTGGCCGAAAATTAGGCGTTTGTGTGGTAAACGGTGGCCTCCAAGTCAGCACCGATCTTCTTCTTTTATATCGAACTCTAGAATATGAGATGAGCCCAATTTTTACAGTGATACCTCCGGCGGTTGTCCTCTTTGCTCTCCTCCGACATATTGGCTCTACCTCCGGCAGCTACTCCGTTGGGTTGTGTTGGTTGTTAATCTTCTGTTGTGTTGGCAACATCACGAAAAGTAACCTATTCCATTTGTCTTTCAGGATTGGGAACAATGCAAATGTCTTATGGAAATTGCTACTGTGGAATTCCAGCAAAGATAATGACTCATGGACAAATGACAATCCAGGGAGACGATTCATTGTCTGCTCAAGAGTAAGGGTATTCGAATGATAAAAATATGTTATTTATGATTTGCTATGAATTTTGATTGTTCTTGACTTAAGGCTATGATTACAAATAGGGTACATGTGTCTGTTGCAACATGTTCGAATGGCTTGATCCAGAAATGTGTTTTAGGTCCAAGACGATTATTCCAAGTTTGTTGAGGAAAATATACAAATTGGAAGTTGAGCTTGCTGAGGAGAAGCAAGCAAAGGAAAAAAGGGCTATCTAAAAAACAGAGGATTTGGAGTGCGTTGTGGTGCATTGTTGCAGGAATGATGCTGGTAGTGATATGGCTTGTTTGGTATGCTGGCCATATGCAAGTATGGCTTATTTGGGATATGTGAAGCCCAAATCCACAACAAACGGGACATGACATTTAGGCCCCTCCATTGTTTGTCTGCTTCATAACAAATCTGTTACCAACCAATCCAACACAATTAAATGCTCCCCAAATACTTCAAACTAGTGGAACAAATTCAAATATGCTATATACACAAATTTTAATAAATGATGCAACAATAATGAGAAGCACTGTAATGTTCTGCTTAAGCGATTTACAACCCTAAAATTACTTCAAGAATGCATTCAAGTATAACAATATTCATGTACAAATGTATAATAATGGATTCATATAATTGTATGGATGCTTTCATACTATACAATGGTAAACAAATGATGCTTACGAAACACATTACCATACCTTTGTTGAGATGAGTCCATCTCCATCTTCAAATCAAGGTCAGAAATTGGTTTAAGCTTCTTGAAAATCAATTAGGTCTTCAAATGCCGTTTTTCGTTTCAATGTTGCGTAAGAATGAAACAGGGTAGGGTTTGGAGGCTATTAACGACCACTTTGGTGACTAGGTTTGTTTAATTTTGCCACATCAGTAAACTATTGGCCATGTCAGCGTTTTGCATGCTTAAATACGAAGAGGTACTAAATTAACTCATGTTTGCTCATTTCATGCATCGCTCAGTCTCGTTTGCATGCATGATCATGTACTCTTTACTCCATAGCTCACGACTTTGTGTACTGAACTGACACTTTTCTCATTTTTGTTAGGTAAATGCTCATATAACACAAGAGGAATCCAAGTGTTTTAATTTTTATACAATAGGTATGTAATAGAGATTACTTGTGAAGTAAATTATTTTTAAAAATAAATTAATTTCATCTGTTATCCATGCCACACAGTTGTCAGTGGTGGAGTTATGTTACAAATTTTGGGTGTTCATTTTTTGTATAATTAAAATTTGAAAGAAGAATAAATAATTAAATTAAATTTATACGTGTATACTAATATGTTTTTTAAAATTGGGAAAAAGGCCAGATAGGCCATCGAACTTACATAAAAAGGTCAAATAAGCCCTTATATAGGAGGCTCTTCCCGGCCGTCGCCATTTGGGGCGGTTCCCCGTGTAATTTTTTGATGCAATTTTTTGAGCATCATTCATTAAGTCTAGTTTACGCATACCAAATTTTCAGCTAAAACTTTAATCGGGAAGGCATTCAAATGAATTCTTGAAGATAACTGCGCAGTTATCTTCAAGAATTCATTTGAATGCCTTCTCGATTGAATTGTTAGCTGAAATTTGGTATGAGTAAACTAGACTTAATGAATAAGATGCTAAAAAATTCATCAAAAAATTCCACCGGGAACTGCCCCAAATGGCGACGGCCGGACAGAGTCTCCTATATAAGGGCTTATTTGACCTTTTTATGTAAGTTCGAGGGCCTATTTGACCATTTTCCCTATAAAATTTTAGGTGTTCCTTGTAAAAAAAAACAAATTTAAGTGTTCAATTGAACACCCTTGAATCTTCCAAAACAAATTGAACACCCTTGAATAGTTGAACTATGGTGGCTTCGCCACCGACAGTGGCACACGGGCGGATTAATTAGTTATTGATAAGTTTTTCAAAATAAAATTATGAATAAAGTGCTTTCTCTTACTATGGTTACCATACTTTTTTTCCGAAATACGAATGACATTGTATGTCAAAGAAAATATGAATGACACTGTCATGAATTACCCTCAAGTTATATTGTAATGTTACAAGTAGTAACATTAAAATGATGATTCATTTACGACACTCAAGTAGTAACATTAAAATGAATGACACTATCATTCAAGCATGTACGAGTTTACGACACTATTGTTTTAAGATGTCTATACTTAATTACCCCTCTTTAGAAGGAAAATATACTACTACCTCCGTCCCAAATTGATTTGCAAATTTGACTTTTCTTGGTCAAACAGTTTCATTTTATACACTTAATTAGGATGTCAATTTTTAATTATATTCTAATTTGGAGTTTACAACTTTGAAAAGATTTTAATGAAGTTTCTGAATATATAAATTTTAATTGTTAAAAATTGAATTAATTATGGATAATGACATTCATGTAATTTCCATGTTTATATTTGTGTTTTTAATTAGTTTAGATTGATTATTACTTTGGAAATTACACACTTTTGGTGTAATAGTTTAGTTTGTAAAATAATTGTAATTTGTTTAGATTAGGTTCATTCTGAGCTCACACAGGTCTAAGAACACTTTAGGGACCAATGGTGAACATCACAAGTGGAAGGAAGGTGCAAAAATTCCAAGAAAAAATGAAGATCCTGATTTTTGGTCTTGTACCCAGTCGGGTATGACCTATACCCGATCGGGTAAGTTGATGAAAAATCAAATCGGATAAATCCGCGAACAAGGCAACGTGCAGGGAAGATTTTAACCACGATCGAGTGTCAATACCCGATCGGGTAGCCGACATACCCGATCGGGTATGTCCATGTTTTTCCAGCTTCCACGAAGCAACTGAAGGCCCGGTCGAGTACCCTATATACCCGATCGGGTACATGACCCTGCAAGCCTAAAAAGCCTATAAATACACCCCATTTCCTCTACAAGAGGATCACCAATTCTTATATACTTCTAAGCTCAGTTTAGACAAGTTATTTCTTTATATTTTCTTCATGTTTAGTCTCCAAATGAGGAGCTAAACTCTTCCATCTTGGTTTTGCTACTTTGAAGCTTAATGATTTGTAAGTTGTGAGTTATTTTCTTTAATCTTCTTCCTTGAATATTAATTACTTCCTATTCATATTCCATATTAATATTTTGAGCATTACTTAAAGAATCAATTAGTTTTGTTTCATATATTAACTATTACTAGAATCAATCGGTTAATACGCTTGTTATTAATTCGGTTCTTTCAATGGTAGTAAACTTGGATTGTTAATACATGCTTCTCATGGTTAATAAGCCAAGAGGAATTAATTATATTGATTAAACCAATAAACCGCTTGTGTTGAGGTTATCAATCTCAATCGTTTTCATCTTAAGTTTATTGCTACTATCAAGTTAATATACGGCGCTTGTTCTATATTGACTCGATAGTAAGTTTTATTAATGAACGCATCTCGTTATTAATAACTACCCTCGATGAACTGGATATACTCCTCGATTGAGTATTCGAGAGGAAGATAGTTAAAGATATAACCGGGATCGACGAACATTTCATTAAGTGGATAAAAGCAAAGCCAAGTCTCCTTCTCATTAATTAAACCACATAACTCGTTCATCTTCGTGTTTAAAGATAATTTAAGTTCATCAACCAAACATAAAACCCACCTGTTATTACTTATTTATTTCTATAAAAAGAGAAGTGTTCCTTTCCCTGTGGATACGAACCTTACTACACTATACTACGTATTAGTGTCGTATTGTATTATTATTTTGAGTGCACATCACGACAAAGTGCACGTCAGATAACGAGCATTGACTTTTATTATTGGTTGACCAAAAAATGTTGACTTTGCAAAACAATTTGGGACGGAGGGAGTAC